GCATCTATTTTTGGATCTCATCAGCCTAATGAAAGGATCACAGAATGCTCCACAGCCAATTACTTTGCGCTAGATAAATGCATGTATTTATTCATTCTCCATAGTGATGATTATGAGGGAGTTCATTTCACTGCAGCCTAACAGATGCTTAAAATATAAATGAACCAACTTCAATAAAAATACCCGAAGCCCTACCTGAGAAAAATGCCATCCAGATAATGCATGCCTGTTCAGTCTATTAGCTTGAAATCAGTCTTCCTTTCCTTCAGAGCTCACTAAAGGAGTGAACTAAAGTACATGTGAGGCAGACAGCACTTCAAGGAAGGGACTGGCTTTTCTGCATGCACAGCCTTGCCCAGAACCCCAAGTCTGAAGTGTGTGTGTGTGTGTGTGTGTGTGTGTGTGTGTGTGTGTGTATCTAAAGCAGTTCCACTAAGCAGCATTTGGCATTCATTTCTTCAGAGGAGAAATATTCTCACATGGAAAGGGTTCCTGGAGTGGGAGAATTGTCTGTATTCTGTCAATCATATTTTAAATAAACACTGATTGGCCAGGCAGAAAGTATAGGCGGGTCAACCAGAGAGGAAGTAGAGGTGGGGTGAGGAGAACAGGAATATTCTGGGAAGAAGGAAGCCCATCCCCTCCCCACTCCTGCCCAGACTCCGAAGAGGCAAGATGTGACCTGCCCTGCTGAGAACGGTACCGAACCATGTGGCTAACATAGATAAGAATAATGGGTTAATATAAGTTACAAGAGCTAATAAGAAGCCTGACCTAATGGGCCGATCAATTTATAACCTAATGTAGACTCTGTGTGATTTTCTTTGGGGCTTGCCGGCTGTGGGGAACTGGGCAGGACATAAACCCCAACGAGCAGGCCCCTTCATGCTACAGGTTCCTCAAATAAATCCATTGATGAAGTCCTCTACTGGGAGAAAAAAGAAAAAAAAAACAGAAACAGGTGATACCATGTGGCTAAGGAAATGCGTGTGGTCATCTGATGACAGTTCTCATAGTTCTTACTATGGAAAGTCCTCCCTTCACAGCACTATTATTTCTTTGCTTTAGGTGAGCATCTTAAGAAGGAACACACTATCTACCATATGCTCTGTGCTACTCCCAGAAGGCTCTACCTGGCCAGGTCATGCAGGCCACAGGGCAGTCTTAACATATCCAGCTAGCAAAACTTCACATTCTAAATGGGAATAAAGTATATATACATTTAACCTAGCTGTCAGTGATTCTGAGGGCTAGATTTATTTTCAATACCTGAACAACACATGACACTTGAAGCTCCCTTAGAGCCCACCAGAGCTGTCTCTTACATTGTGCCCTGAGGAGACTTTTCTTCATGCCAAACCCAGGCTCTAACCTTACTTGCTACCCTAGATTCTGTACTGCAGGAAAAATCTCGGAAGCAAGAATGCAGTAGGAAAGCATGCATTTGTTTCATTAAAACATGAGACAACTTGGCGACATATTTCCCACAGAGTGACCCCATATTTTGGTCACACAAGATAATTCTGAAGGACCTTGTTTCCATACCTCTCCCAAAACAGTGGACCATGGACTTTTTGCAAGCAACTGTACCAACACAGAGAAGACATAGAAAAGGAGCAGAATTGAAGTAAATCACAGACTATTCTTATTGATTGAATGTTTTATGACTATATTATAAAATATGAATCATATAAATGTTTCAAAACAAGTATACAAATATAGTTATACTTTTACATATAAATATGTATTCATATGTAATATATTAAATAGTATTTACTTAAATTAGTTATTTTTATTTATAGCTCAAAATGGTTAACAAACTAATTACATCCAATTACGTCTGTTAGCAATGAAACAGTAGAGGGCAACATCTAAAACATTTTTTATTTGATTGTCAGAACTGTTCTGAAGTCTTGCCCTTCCTTAGCCTTGAGAGCAAAAAGAAGTCCTGTGATTTAGCTTAGCATCCAGCCCTTCACACTCCACCCCGGCTTTACCTCCTCCAACACCACACTGGTTTTCAGCAGCACTGGTCTTCTCCAGCCTGCTCAGTAGCGTTGTAAAAAGGAGCAGGGGGCCACTTCCCACCGCCCGGATTCCGGCTAGCTTACACTCGAAATAATTACACGGAAACTGTATTCTTTTAAACACTGCCTGGCCCATTGTCTCCAGCCTCTTATTGGCTAACTCTCACATATTAATTAACCCATTTCTAATAATCTGTATATCACCACGAGGTGGTGGCTTACTGGGAAGATTCTAACCCACGTCCATCTTGGAGAGGAGAGCCATGGCGTCTGTCTCACTTACCTTCTTCCCAGCATCCTGTTCTGCCTACTCTGCCTGTCTAAGCTGCTGTCCTATCAAAGGCCAAGGCAGTTCTTTATTAACCAATGAAAGTAACACATAGAAAGACCCACCTACATCACAGTAGTCCCCACACTCGTTGATCTGGTTGCCTTCTGTGTCGAAGGTCAAGTTGCTACTATCCACCCCATGCCCTGCTCAGAAGTCTGTGTCTGCATGTCTTGCCATCTTTTGTTGTCCCTGTGCTCATCAGAAACTACAGTGAGGCCATTCTTGTTACATGATTTCCATTTCATAGACGTCAGCCTCATGCTCCATTCACTACTGTCACCAAACATTTCTTTACAGGCAGACAGATACTATCCCCATTTTAAAACTTGGATACTGGGCTCAGCGAGGTAACTTACAGGAGAGTGAAGTGCCTTCCTTAGTAGCAAACATAATATTAATAGTTAACAGGGTGACATATGGGGGCATTGATTTCTTAAAGATTTGAATAAAAGATTAGTGTATACTAATTATACATTAATATATTGTCTTGATACAATATATTAATTAAATTATATTATATGCACATAATTATATTAATTAGTTTAATTATAAATGTATTAGCTTATATTTATGGATATTTTATTATTTTATAGGCAATAACCAAACCATATAAGAGTGATAAGGGACAACCCATGATCCTTGATGTGTGCAAGTTCAGCCATATAAATGTACATCACACCACAGTATCGTGATTCAGCTATGTTTCATGCCTTCCTCATGTTTCAGGATGTTTGTGAGTAAGTTATACTAAGTTCTTATCTCATGGAGACTGTGTGTCTGTGTATGTATGGTGTGTGTGTGTGCAGTGTACATGTGTACTGTGTTTTGTGTGTATGTGTGTGTGTGTGTGTGTGCGCGTGTGTGTGTGTATGTGTGAATGTGTGTGTGTGTTGGAGATTAAGCTCAGGACCTCAAGCATTTTAAGCCCCTAAAGTTAGGATAGATGGAAGACAGACATTTCTGGACATAAAGTTCTTAGAGTAGGCAGTACTTCAACTCATAAGCACATAATGCTAGCCTGCACTTCCCCTTCAATTTATATTTTGTTTTTCTTTTGTTATGATATCATATTCTTTTGCTTCTTTTTATTTCATTCTGAACATTTTTTAATGTCTCTTATGGGTCATTATCCCATCCCCTGCCTGCCTCAAATTCATATATTGAAATTCTTGTATTCGATTACTCAGAAATGTGACATTTTGGAGATGGGACCACTGAATAGATAATTAAGTCAAAATGAAGTCTCAAAGATGGATTTTAATTCTAATAAAATTCTAATAAAAAAGAGGACATTAGGAAACAAACACTCAGAGCAAAACAATGAGAAGAGATGGGAAAATGGCCATTGTCTTAGTTGCTGTGAAAAGACACCAGGACCATGGCAATTCTTATAAAGAAAACATTTCATTGGAAATGGCTTACAGGCTCAGAGGTTTAGATAGTCATGGCACGAAGCATGGCGTCACATAGGCAAACACGGTGTGAGAAAACAAACCCGAGAGTTCTACATCCTGACCAGCAGGCAATAGCAAGAGCTCCTGAGCCACTGGGCCTCAAAACCCACCACCAGGGACACACTTCCTCGAGCAAGCCCAGATGTCCTAATCCCTTCAAACAGTGCCACTTCCTATGAGCCTATGGAGACATTCCATTCAAACAACCATAGCCGTGAACAGGCAAAAGAGAGAGATCTCAGAGAAAATATTACCATGGTGACCTCTCACTCTCAAACTTATACCTGCAGGAATTGTGGGAATAAATTTCTACTGGTCCAGTTACCCAGTCAGTGGTGCTTTATCAACAGGACTTGACAGTCAACAAACAAAACAGCAAATGCAGTGTCCACAACGAATTTAATGGTCATAATGTGCAGATGAGGCATAGTCTGATTAATGGACTGCTAAGAAACTCTTTCATAATGATGATGACCTAAACACACATCCCAACAGTGCTTTTTAATCATTCACCTACCTCAGGACAGCAAGGTACTTGGAACGTGGCATCTTTAGAACCAAAATGACGTTAAATACAGTAGCACAACACTCCCAGCAATAAAAAGTACGAGAGTTCAGATCTACTAACGATTTGCCATATGTTGTCTATATATTGCTATATATTGTGATGGTCAATACTGTCAACTTGACAGTCTATAGAGTTACTCCTGTGGCAAACCTCTGGGCACACCTGTGAAGCATTATCTAGGTTAGGGTATCCTCTGGCTCACCCGTGTGGCATTATCTAGGTGAGGGCACCCTCTGTCGCACCTGTGAAGCATTATCTAGGTTAGGTTAGCCTTCTGACACACTTATGAAGCATTATCTAGGTTAGGATAGCCTCTGGCACACCTGTTGGCACGCCTGTGAAGCTTTAGCTAGGTTAGAGTCTCCTCTGGCACACCTGTGAGGGATTCTTGATTAGATTAATTGAAACAGGAACATTCATTCTTAATGTAGGCAGCACCTTACAAAGGCAGTGGTCCAGATACAAGGAATTCTGAAGAAAAAGCCTTTGCTCTTTTCCTCCTTACCTTCACATCTTGCCGTGAGTCCACTGATGTAGTTACTACCTCTGTTACTATGGTTGCTGTTGTTGTTGCTACTCTGTTGATACAGAACCTAGCTTCTTCAGCATTCCAACGTGAACTGAAAACCAGCATCTCTCCATGCATTTTTTCCCATACTGGGAGACCGCTGAGGCATCCTGCTTCATGGACTTAATAACTACCAGGTTCTCAACAGCTCCAGTACAAAGACAGCCATTATTGGATTACCCATGTTCTGTAAGTCAATCTAGTAAAGTCCTTTATAACATATAGTCATGTAATGGTTCTGTTCTCTGGACAACTCTAATACAGTGGTGTTCTACCCTGAGCCTTTTCTTCCTCTGAAGCAAAATGAGGGTATTTGATTTGTAATATAATATTTTATGGCTCTTTATGGGTTCTATAAGTGAAAGATGATTTTTGATTGTACTTTCTAGAAGTGGCCATTGTCATTACCCTTAAGCCAAAGAGAAAAGACTAATATTTAAAGGTTCAGATTCTGACACTAATCACTTCTACTAGATGGATGTTATTTGAACCTTGTGCTATATGACACGCATTATGACTGTCATCATTAACAAGAACAGAATTTATTGATAAAAAGGCTAGACATTGTGTTATTTGCATATCTCTCTCCACCTAACACTGATGTATAACCACACATAGATTTGCCTAATGAAATGAGCCCTTTTCTGTAGGGACTACATTCCAAGACATTAGATGGATACCTAAAACCATAAGTCATTATTTTTTGTGGATATATATGTTTAATTATTTGCTAGATTAGCGGACAAAAAGATATATTAAGCAACTGAAGACAAGGTTCATAAACTCAGGAGGGGCAGGTTACATTTAGGCCAGGTGAGGTTTAGACATGCAATAAACTACTTTTTAACACTGAATATAAAACCTTTTGCCACAAAATCAATGTATTAAACCTGGTTTCCAGATTATCCAAACTCCCTTTTAAACATCATTTAATTTTTTAATACTTAAATATTTTCTTTACCAAACATATCCAAAATACTAAGTTTCATTTTATAATTTGTTTATGTATCAGAATATCCTAAACTGTTCAAGATACCTTTCTCTAAGCCACAATAGCTTACATCTTTCCTCCCTTTAAAACACTTAACTTTTCACATTAACACTCTCACAGATATTCCGTAGGGGATCAAGAATATACTCAGAAACAGAGCATATTTTGAGGCCCTGGGCATGATCCCATCCCCCCAAAAGGGAGAGAAAAAAAGCCTGAAGAAAACGAACAAGCACACACTTTTCAAACCCCTGTAAATTCCTCTTCACTTCTATTATAGTGCACAACGGTCTCATCTACCCCATAGTAGTCAATCAGCTCGGTGATGCTGAGTTTCTCGTCGTCCTCAGACATAACTGACTGTAGCTCATACAGCAGCCGCTGGCTGCACCTCCTCCACTTCTTTATTAACATTTCTAACTCAGCCAGGTTATTCTTTATTCTATACATTTTGACAAGTTTTAAACTCCGAAGAAGTTCTTCCTTCTCTTGAACCTGCTTTGTCAATTTTGCTTTCTCTTCCCTTAATCTTTCTCTAGTATTCCCACTCACAGAATCATTCTGGAGGGCGCTGGACGACCCAGTGTCAGGTGACTGAGACTTGCGTGTGTTTTTACTCTCCGAGCTATCTTTTTCAGATTCACTGTCTATGCGTTTCACACTTTCTTGGATCTCCGAGCAGCTTTTCTCTTTGGAAGATGCTCCTGGCTCTGGTATGGCCTCGTCGTTTTCTTCATTCTCCACTTTAAGTCGCTTCACCACGCTACAAAAGGAATGAGACGAAGCCCTTGTTTTCTTTAACCTTTCTTTAAGTGTTCCACTCATAGGTTGTTTTCCTGAACTATTTGTTTGGGATGATGGTGGATTCTCACTCTTCTCAGGAGTGTCAGGTAAAGTCGATGCTGAATCTGACGCGCTATCCATCTTGGTGGATGCAGAATCTGACGGGATCTCCATCTTGGTCAATGTTGAATATGATGCACTCTCCATTTTGGTGGATGCGGAATCTGGTGGGAACTCCATCTTGATAGATGCGGAATCTGACGGGTTCTCCATCTTGGTGGATGCGAAATCTGGTGGGAACTCCATCTTGATAGATGCGGAATCTGACGGGTTCTCCATCTTGGTGGATGCGGAATCTGGTGGGATCTCCATCTTGGTGGATGCGGAATCTGATGGGTTCTCCATCTTGGTGGATGCGGAATCTGGTGGGATCTCCATCTTGGTGGATGCGGAATCTGGAGGGATCTCCATCTTGGTGGATGCGGAATCTGGTGGGTTCTCCATCTTGGTGGATGCGGAATCTGGTGGGTTCTCCATCTTGGAAGCAAACTCCTGATTTCCTTCCCCATTTGTTTATCCAGGGTAGAAGCCTCCCCCAGCCCCATCTCCTTTCCCATCTACCATAAGTCATTATTAAGCATACACATTGTGTGGTTTCTTTTCATTTACATGTTCAAAATAAACCTTAACTTACAAACTAGATGCAGTATCAGATTAACAACACTAAAATAACAGGTAAGTCAGAAAATTTTCACTGCAGTGAAAATTATGTAAAAGTTGTGAACTGTTTAATTCTGTAATATGCCTTTTAATGTATTTAAGCCACAGCTAGTCTTGGAAAACTAAACCGTAGAAAGTGAAACCACGAGCTATTGTAGATGGGTGAGTCAGTAATGTGTGGGATGTGTGCATGTGTGCATTATAATAGCGTGTGCCCTTAATGACAGAAAATGAGATGAAACTAACTTCAAAGGAGAAAGAAATTATTGGCTAATAAACCCTCTTAGGCCCAGGATCCAGAGCAAGACCACTGATCCAATATTCCACCTCTGTCTTCTTTGTTAGCTGCTATTTGCAGCATCTCTGCCTCAGCCTTACGGCGTAAGTGAAGCCAGAGCTGACAAGAGGAGGCAGAGAGTGCATGGGTCTATCCGTGCTCGTTTCTAGCGGGGAGAAGAAGCCGTTTTCTTGATGTTTTTACACAGATCTAAAAATAGTTTCACTGTTTTTTCAGATAAAGTAGCGATTCCTGATTGTCCTTCAAGATAGGGAAAACAGATTGTGCTGCTGTGCTTGGTATTGTGGTCATCTTGGTGTCTCAAAAGAATGAATCCAGTAAAAGAAACCTTCGCTTACAGTCTAAGTGGATATTTTCATCAGTGGGGTAAGCAGGCTTCATGCATTTTCCCAAGTAACCAAGTAATTAGCTGAATCTCTTGCAGAAAATGGCAGAAATTCATTTTGGAAATTTCATACTAATATTTTGCAGTTCTTTTTCTTTTTTTCTTTTTTAAAATAATGTTATTTTACAGACCAATCCCAGTTCCCTTTCCCTCCTGTCCTCCTGCTCCCCCCCCACCTTCTCCTCACCCCACCACCCATCCACTATTCAGAGAGGGTGAGGCCATCCATGGGGAGTCAACAAAGTCTCTCACATCATGTTGAGGCAGGACCAAAGCCTTCCCCCTTGCTTGTTGAGCAAGGTTCCTTAAGTGCTTCCATAGGGAATGAGCTCCAAAAATCCAGTTCATACACTAGGGATAAATACTGGTTCCACTGCTAGTGGCCCCACAAACTGACCAAGTGACACAACTGTCAGTTACATTTAGAGGGCCTAGTTTAGTCGTATGCAGGTTCGTCGGCCATCAGTCTGGAGTCCGTGAGCTCCCATTTGCTCAGGTCATCTGTTTCTGTGGGGATCCCCATTATGGTCTTGGCTCCTTTGCTTGTAATATCACTGGACTCCAGGAATTTGGCCCGGTGCTTAGCTGTGGATCTCTGCATCTGCTTCCATCAATTACTGGATATAGTTTCTAGGATGGCAATTAAAGTAGTCATCAATCCAACTACAGTGAAAGAGCATTTTGGGTGCCCTCTCCACTATTACATTCTTAGCTGGGGTCATCCTTGTGGATTCCTGGGAGTTTCCCCAGTAACTGGTTTCTTGCTAGCTACACAATGGCTCCCTCTTTCGAGGTATCTCTTTCCTTACTCTCTCTCCCTACCCTTCACCCAACTTGACTTTCCTGACTCCTCGTGTTCTCCTCCCTGCTCCCCTTCTCTCCTCCCCTACCACCCTCCCCTCCCCACCAAAACCAATTCACTTAGGATATTTTGTTTACTTCCCCGTCCCAGGGGATCCATGACTGTCTTTCTTATAGTTTCCCTTGCTTTATGTCTTCTCTGGGGTTGTGGACTATAGGGCAGTTATCCTTTGCTTTATGTCTATTATTTAGTGAGTACATATGAGTTTGTCTTTCTGGGTCTGGGTAACCTTACTCAGGAGGTTTTTTTCTGGTTCCATAGTGGCGAATCAATCCCACACCAATTATGTTTTAAGGGGGTATTTATTTTGGGAGGTAAAACTTACATACACCATAAACCGTCAGGAAGGGAGCCTAGTCGCTGGAGCAGGAGATGGGAGCAGGAGCCGGAACCAAGCGCCGGAACCAAGAGGCCTAGCCGAGCTTGCCGCTCTTCTTTTAAAGAGAAATATACCACGCCCCAGTGGGCTGGTATTTCAGCGGCTATTGGCTGATGGAGCGGAAGGCGCTCCCGCAACACTGTGGGCTCGTGCTTCAGCGACTATTGGCTGAAGCAGCGGAAGGTACTCCCGCAGCAGTTCCATCCATTTGCCTGCAAATTTTAAAATGTCATTGACTTTACTGAGGAGTAGTACTCCATTGTGCAAATGTACCACATTTTTTTAATCCATTCTTCAGTTGAGGAGCATCTAAGTTGTTTCTAGGTTCTAAGTATTATGAATAATGCTTCTATGAACAAAGTTTAGCAAATTCCTTTGTAGTATGAGTGAGCATCCTTTGGACATATGCACAAGAGTGGCATTGCTGGGTCCTTGAGATAGTTTGACTCCCAATTTTCTGATTCCCACAGTGGCTGTACAAGTTTACACTCCCACCAGCAATGGAAGAGTGTTTTTCTTACTCTACATCTTCTCCAGCGTAAGGTTTCATTAGTGTATTTGATTTTAGCCATTCTGATTGGTGTAAGATGGTATCTCAGAGTTGTTTTGCTTTACATTTCTCTGATGGCTAATATGTTTAACAGTTCCTTAGGTGCCTTTCAAACATTTGAGATTCCTCTGTTGAGAATCCTCTGTTTAGATCTGTACCCCATTATTAATTGGATTGTTTTAATATTTCAATATCTAGTTTTTTTGGGTTCTTTGTATATT